GAAAGAATTTTAACTCGGGGTGGTAACCGATATTTTATCACTTTTATTGATGATTTTTCAAAATACACAAACGTATATTTATTAGAAAATAAAAGTGATGCTTTTGAGAAATTTAAAGAATTCCTTCTTGAAGTGGAAAATCAATTCAGTAAAAAGATTAAGAGAATTCGAACTGATAGCCGCCGGGAGTATGAATCTCTTGGATTCAACTTTTTTGTTCAGTCATTGGGAATTATTCATGAGACTACTCCACCATATTCACCTTCATCTACTGGCGTAGCTGAAAGAAAAAATAGAACGTTAATTGACTTGACGAATGTTATGCTTATCGATTCAGGTGCTCCCTCAAATCTTTGGGGCGAGGCTATTTGGACAGCTTGCCATGTGATAAATAGAGTGCCACATAAAAAGACTAAAATTGTACCTTATGAGTTGTGGCGGGGGCATAAACCAAATCTAGGTTATTTGAGGGTTTGGGGTTGTTTTGCTTTTGTGAGGCTTGCAGATCTTAAACGACCTAAATTGGGTGAACGAGCTACCACCTATGCTTTTCTTGGGTATGCGTTGCATAGTACAACTTATAAATTTTTTGTCATGGAAAATAATATTATTTTCGAATCAGGTGATGCTATTTCTCATGAAAATAAATTTCCTTTCAAATCCAGAAATAGTGGGGATCAAATAATTTCTGAAAATATTTTATCCATGCCTAACTCTTCTACTCCTTCTTAAGTTTTTCAAGAACAAGAAAATTTTCAAATCCAACCAAGAAGAAGTAAACGAGCTAGAGTTGAAAAAGATTTTGGCCCTGACTATTATTTTTACAATGTGGCCTATAAATAGTTCATCTCTTCTACTCTTTTCTACAAAAAAATGCATCAACTATTTTCTATACAAGAGAGATTACTAACAAAGAATGGTGTTTTTCTTGGTGGAGCTTTGGATTCACCATCTTGATGTATTTTGTGAATCATCAATAAAAGTGAGTTAATTTTAGGAACTAATCGTAAACTACTCATGATTCCCACATATTTACTGTTAATATGATATAAGCAAATATCCCAAAAATTAATAAAAGACAAAGTGTAAGTGGTGTCATAGTAATAATCATAAAATTAATCAGCAAGGAAATTTAAAAGATAAAAGCGATATTTATACTCATCTATATTATAGGAAGTCACTTTTACTTTATGTGCCTCGTAGTCTTCATCATTCATCTCCTCGGTTGGGATTTTATTTGGGTTCTTCTCGGTAAGAACATATGCAACTTTCAAAAGGCTAAGGTAAAAAATAACCGGTACTTGTTCCATGGTTGATCTCCTTAAAATTGTTGGTGAAAATACCAGAAAAAATTATATTTTATTGATAAATAATGCAAAGAAAATGAGATACAAATAGATCAAGTTGAGACCCGAATATCTCATTTTCTTTAAAGAGATTAACCCACTGCGGTAGGAAGAACCCAAATACCGATGCAACAGTCACAAAATTATGACTTGTCCCCTCCAGGATATAATAGCCCGACCACTTGTCGTATGGTTCAAGCCAACTCTGCACAAGATGGTGAACCAAAAGCTCCACCAAGAAAAACACCCTTCTTTGCTAGTAATCTCTCTTATATAGAAAATAGTTTGTGCGTTGGTTGTAGAAAAGAGTAGAAGAGAGGAATTATTTATAGGTCACTAGGACATTACAAAATACATCAAGAAATAATAATGACCTGAACCTAGAGAAAAGGGAGAGTGAACCAAAAATTAATTCACTAACAAATTCATGAATTCTAATTAACTCGCTTTTATCCTCATACATGGTTTGTGTATTTAAAAAAATCATCAATAAAAGTGATAAAATATCGGTTACCACCCCGAGTTAAAATTTTTTCAACCTCACACAAATCAGTATAAAATAATTCTAGCAATTCGGTATTTTTTTCAATACTTTTATGAAGCCTCTTAGTAATTTTTGTTTTACTGCAAACTTCACATTTCTCAAATTTTTTTTGTCACTTTAGGAATTAATCCTAAACTACTCATGATTCCCACATATTTACTATTAATATGATACAAGCGAGCATCCCAAAAATTAATAAAAGACAAAGTGTAAATGGTGTCATAGTAATAATCATAAAATTAATCAGCAAGGAAATTTAAGAGATAAAAGGGATATTCATACTCATCTGTATTATAGGAAGTCACTTTTACTTCATGTGCCTCGTAGTCTTCATCATTAATCTCCTCGGTTGGGATTTTATTTGGGTTCTTCTCGATAAAAACATATGCAACTTTCAAAAGGTTAAGGTAAAAAAGAACTTTTCCTTTTCACCTCTTAAAATGAACTCCCTTGAATTTGAAAGGTTTGTTGAGATCTTCAATTCCATCATTGGTTTTTTGTGGTACTTGTTCCTTGGTTGATCTCCTTAAAATTGTTAATCACCTTACTCTGGAGTGATTAAAATTGTTGGTGAAAATATTAGAAAAATTATATTTTATTGATAAAAAATTGCAAAGAAAATGAAATACAAATAGACCAGGCTGAGGCACGAATATCTCGTTTTCTTTAAGGAGATCAATCTCACTGCGGTAAGAAAAACCTAAATACCGATCCAGCAGTTACAAAACTATGACTTATTCTCTCCAGGATACAACAGCTCAACCATTTGCCGTATGGTTCCAGCCAACTCTGCACAAGATGGTGAACCCAAAACTCCACCAAGAAAAATACCCTTTTTTGCTAGCAATCTCTCTTGAATAGAAAATAGTTGATGTGCTGGTTTAGAAAAGAGTAGAAGAGAAGGACTATTTATAGGCCACTAAGACATTGCAAAACATATCAAAAAATAATAATGACCATGAACCTAGAGAAAATGGAGAGTAAACCAAAAATGAATTCACCACCAAGTTCATGAATTCTAATTAAACTCCATTCATGAACAAGACAAAAGGATATTCGTGCCTCAGCCTGATCTATTTGTATCTCATTTTCTTTGCATTATTTATCAATAAAATATATTTTTTCTGGTATTTTCACCAACAATTTTAAGAAGATCAAGCTCACTGCGGTAGGAAGAACCCAAATACCAATGTAGCAGTCACAAAACTATGACTTGTCCCTTCTAGGATACAACAGCTCAACCACTTGTCGTATGGTTCAGGTCAACTCAACATAAGATGGTGAACCCAAAACTCCACCAAGAAAAATACCATTCTTTGCTAGTAATCTCTCTTGTATAGAAAATAGTTGATGTATTAGTATAGAAAAGAGTAGAAGAGAAGAACTATTTATAGGCCACTAAGATATTACAAAATACATCAAAAAGCAATAATGACCATGAATCTTGAGAAAAGGAAGAGTGTACCCAAATATGAATTCACTACCAAGTTCATAAATTCTAATTAAACTTCATTCATGAACAAAATAAAATGACACCAAAACAATGAATCTCTATTCATGAATAAGACGAGATTCATGAATAAGATAAAAGAAGATTCATAAACAATATAAATAAATAAATAAATAAAAGATATTAAAATGATTCAACAACACATAATTTAATCTAAGAGTGTATTGAGAGAGAAAAAACAGCTAAATTTAATTACATAATTTAATTATTGAAAGTGTATTAAGAAAGAATTTCAGGACAAATTATGCGTAGCCTTCTAAAGTGATCAATTGTCAAAGCTAGAAAAAACACATTTTATGAAAAAATTGTCTACAGAATTATGGGACATAAATGACATAAGGTCTATAAATTTAAAATTTTCACTATTACATTATTTTGATAAAAGATTGTACATAAATTACATTTGTGTATCTTTTTTATTTCATGAGTATAGTCCATTCTATAATTTTAAATTAAGAGATTGTTTGAAATGATTTAAATAAGTGTATTTTTTGACTTTTTATAAAATATGGATTGGGTTTGGGTTGGGTTTGAAGTGATGTGTTAGAGAGGTGATGTGACTTAAATAGGATGATGTGACTTAAATAAGATAATGATTTTTTGACTTTTAAAAATTTTTTAAACATGCCAAACTAGCCCTAAATTCCAAAATTTTATAATTAAAAAAAAAAAAAGGAAGAAAGAAAACAGTACGTGGAGGAAGCAACTGTATTTTAAAATTATATTTTCAAAAACCCAAAATGGAAAAGCATACAGTGTGTTTGGTTTGAGTTTTTTGGATTAAGTTTTTTGAAAATTGAATTTTTTTATTTTCGTATTCTTTTGTTTTTAGTGAATATTTTTTAAATTTTAAACATTTTTTTTACTTTTTTAGATGCACCTTAGTTAGATGTATCTAAAAAATAAAAAATTTGTGAATAAATATTTTTAAAAATTAATAAATACATAAAAATACAAAAAAAAATGTATTGAATTATTGTATTTTTTTTGTATTTTTGGTATTTAGTGAAATTTTTTAAGATTTTTTTTACAATTTTTTTACTTTTTAGGTATATTTATGTTAAGTGTGTCTAAAAAGTAAAAAAATTGTTTAAAATATTAAAAAAATTCAGTAAAAACAAAAAAATACGAAAAATAAAAATGTAGAATTTTTTGAAAAATATTTTTTAAAAAATGAAAACAAGCAAGCTGATATATATTTGGTAGGATTTTCAAAACTTAGGATTAGTTTGAGAATTACTATTTTAATTGATTTTTTTAACAAAAAAATGTGAAGAAAAATAAAAGAGTGATGTGATCATTTATAATAACTTTCTGATTTTTTTTAGTTGGTTGTCAAACCATAAAAATAAACACTATTTTTAAAAAAAAAAATTTAAATTACACACAGAAAGATGAAACCTACTTTTTTAGCAAATTTTTAGTTTTAATTTTTGTTTTGGGCCACGTACAAAACGACGTCGCGTCTATACTCTCCCCTCGTGGAACTGCCTTTTGTCTCCTCTACTGCCTAGATCCACCCCAACCCAAACCCCGATTCCAAGTATTCACCGCAACAACAGCGTATCTATGGATCCTCTTTCCTACCGCTCCAACCCAAACACCAACAAGATCATCACAACAACAACCACAACCACTTCTTTAAAATCCATCTTCCTAAACCACTTTCTCAGCAGCCAAACGAAACCAAAAAAAAAAAGAATTTGCAGTTGCAGTTGCAGTGCCGAAGATTTTCAAGGTCTAATCAGCTTCCCGAAAACTCCACCAACAGAGAAGGAAATGTCGGTGCAAGAATATCTGGACAAGTACATGCTTTCTCGGAAAATCGAGGACGCCGTCAATGCCGCCGTTAGGGCCAAGACTCCCGATCCCGTTCTCTTCATTGTAACCTGCCTCTTTCTCATGTCAATTTTCTTTGCTTCCAAACAAACAAGTTCAGTGGTTTTGATTACTTTTTTGTGTGTGTGTGTGTGTGTGTAAACAGTCTAATCATATGAGGAAAGCTGTACCTTCGGTGATCACCAAGGTTAAAGCCAGGCAAATCCTGGATAGCAGAGGAATTCCTACAGTTGAAGTTGATCTTTACACCAATAAGGGCATGTTCCGTGCTTCTGCTCCTAGCGGCTCTTCTTCTGGAATGTATGCTTTCTCAATCTCCTCCTCTCTCAATGTCAACTTCAAAATTTGTGTGATTTTGAGGATAAGCCTAGAAAGGGAGCATCTTATTACCTGAAATTTGGACTTTCCTGTATAAAATCTGCGCTGACTTTTGAGATTTTTTTGTTCAAGTTTGTAATTGTAATCAGTAAATCACCACATTGTTGTCCCTGCTAGGAAAATAAAAAAATAAAAAAGAGGCTAGGAGAGTATAACTATTCAATATAATTGATTCCTTAGAATTCCATCTGTATCTAATTATGACAAATGGCATTGTCTCACTTGGTTGAATTTTTAAGATGGCTCCATTGTGACCTAGGCATCATGGATTCAAACCACAGAAACAACCTCTCCGCACATGGGGTTGTGCACTTGGACTACCTTACCTTTTTTTACCTTCGGTTGTCAATGGTTTGAAACTTTGAATGATCTTTTCTATCGCAATACTGCTAGAAGAATTTTGGATGCCTATTTGCTGCCTATTTGTGTAAATATTTAGATGTTTATGTCCATTGTAATTCTAGTTAAGGCAATCTCGCATTGCTTTGTTTCTAGAGTATCTAGGGGTATGTCATTTATAGAAGGCTATGCTCTATGAATTGTATCCTTTGGCATTTTCATGAGCAGTCCTACACAAATATTTAATCAATTGTTGTCATGATGTTTTGTCTCTTATTTAATTTTGGTTTCAATCATAAGAAGTATCATGCCACAAATTTGTATTAATTGACTCCAGGTATGAAGCTATTGAATTACGTGATGGAGACAAGGGAACGTATCTTGGACATAGTGTGCAAAGAGCTGTTAAGAATATTAATGAGAAAATATCTGAGGCTTTGATCGGTATGGATCCGACTCTTCAGTCACAAATTGATCAGGCAATGATAGACTTGGACAGGACAGAGAAGAAGGTGTCTTTCTTTCTCTCTTTTCTCTAAATAATTTGGTATTATTAGATGGTTTCATATGCAATGCCATTTTTACATTTCACAATTTGGAAACTTTTGGAATATGTATCATATTACTGAAAGAATGCATGCAATGAGTTGGGTTCTTTACTCATTGCAATGTATAATAGTATCTGAAAGTTCCCACTGACTAGTGTAACAACATATTAGGCACTAGAAACCTTTAACATTGATATTTTCACAAATTGCTATCTGAACTCTGAGGCAAGTAGTGATGCTTTTACTGAGATCGGTCATTTGATTCTCGATGATGGAGTTCTCATTAGTGTAGATTGAGCTGATCTTGGAATCTAGGTTGAGTTGGAGATGTAGATTTTATGTTATTACTTTTTCAAACATGTGTGTTCTTTTACTGGTTTTTAATATCCATTGTAGTTCCATTTATCAAAAAAACAAAAAACAAAAATATCCTTTGTAGTTCCAGTTCCAAATGGAAAATATATTGGAAGAGATTTATGTACATATTGAAGAATATTTTTGGTAAGTCAAGTTTAGAATGTAGAACCATTATTGTGGCCACTGACGACCTCTAACTTCTATGGATCATATAAGTCCTAGATATTACAAGTTTTGGACTTTTTTTTCCTTGAGTTGGTTTGTTCATGTAATAGATCTTTTCAAGCCCCTCCCATTCATCTCAGGCTAGCAAACAGTGGTTTCTATATGTCTAACTTTTAAGTGCATCATCCTTTCAAACCTGCTGTTCTTTTGCTTGGTTAAAAGCACTTAGGAAAATGTGGCTTGGTGCCTTTGTTGTCTTTCATTAGTTGTCATCCAAAAATCCACTTGTCAACATTCCTTTCAGATGACTGGTTGCATTTGGAAGAGATTTTTGTTACTTACTTTCCAGAGCAGAAACTTTTGTAATTGTTTATATTATTTTATTTATTTTTAGCATTAACTTTCTAATTTCATGATATTTTGCAGGGTGAACTTGGTGCAAATGCAATTTTAGCCGTTTCAATTGCTGCTTGCAAAGCTGGAGCTGCTGAAAAGGAGGCATGGATATTTGTGATATTAACATTTTACTGACTTTTGCTTTCCTTATTTTGAAGTTGATTTTGAATTCTATTTCCTTTATATATATATATATTTTATAAATTTTATTTTGTTACAAAATTTGTTTTAAGTTTCCTTTAAATTTGTTGTGACATATTATTTTCAGCTTCCACTTTACAAGCACATAGCTGATCTCTCTGGAAGAAGCCACCTGATTCTTCCTGTCCCTGCCTTCTGTCTGATAAGTGGTGGAAAACATGCTGGAAACAATCTGGCTCTTCAGGTTGTAATTAACCTACTTGAATATCTGTTTATGTTACTATGTTAAGTGATTTTTGCTCAATGTTACCTGATAACCTTTTGCACAAAGTTCTATTATTGTATTCTGCACAAAAATGAATATTGTGACATGCCAAATATTTTTATTTATTCTCGGCCCTGTGTCCCTATTATTCTGATTTTTTTTCTGTTGTGCGATTTTTTAACAATGAGTCGATGACAAGTATGTTGTGCAATGAACGAGGATTCTACTTCATCACCTTATGCCAATGACATGTATTATGAATTTAAGGAAACTACAACATTATATGTAAAATGATGTTAGGCTCCTGTCTTCAGTTGCTTTGTTATAGTCATTTTTTTGTGCTTCTTTTTCATCTTCTCCAATCTATGCCTATGGATTTTTTACTGCTCCAGTTGTATCATTGGTGACTTTGCTTCTTACAAACAATTAAACATATTGACATTGTTTCTTTGCTATGATTCTCAAATTGCTTTGATGGTTGAAATATTATCAGGATATTATGATTCTTCCTGTTGGAGCGAAAAAATTTGAGGAGGCAATGCAAATGGGCTCTGAAACGTACCATCATTTAAAGGTAACTTCCTTCAATTGGAAAATAACATCTTTTGGGTTTTGATCTTAGCTTAATGGTTCTTATCTTTTAAAGTTACTGCTTGGTTTTTATTTCTTTAGCGTGAAACATCTAAATTTCTCTTTTATTGAAAAGGGGAAAACCATTCTCAATTGTTCATTTTCTGTTTTTGCAGCTTGATAATTTATGGTACTGTGCATTTTTCAAACAGTAAAACAGTTTCATAGGAAAGTGATAGGTGTAGCCTATCAGTCTAGAACTCATTAGGAGGGAGTTCCCACCTCCAATGCTATTTTTTTAGGGTAGACTCTCCTTTCATACATTCATGATCAAAACAAAGATATGTGGTACACAAGAACTGACATCCAAGGCTCAAAGTCTTACTGCCCAAGACTAGTACTACTATGACTGAAACTTGAACTCTCCAATACACCAGCCTACAAACTAATCATTGTGCAAGTAAAAGTTTCCCCTTTTTTGGGGGTAAAACTGTAAAAGAAAATCCAAATAGAATGACTTGCATATGTTCCCATGGGTAAATCACTTGGACTGGACTTTGGACACCAATGTGGACTCTTCCATCTATTTCTTCTGTTGTTTATGTGAACAATGGCTGGAAGGTATTATCCCCTCCCTCTTCGGAAGCAACCTTGTCTACAAGATTGATATGTGCAAATCATTGCCAAGTCGTCACGTCCTTCCTAGGTTTCATCCTCAAGTGGCAGCCCATTTCATCAAACTAATGCTTCCTTTACAAGTCCAACAGCAATCCAACGGAAGCCGTGGCTACAAAAATAACTTTCTGTTTCAAAAAGGGGACGATTATTAACCAATACCTGGTTACCTCTATGCGCTGTGAAACATGAACAATTAGATGTAACTGCATCCTTGCCAGTAGCTCTAACTTGTAGGTCATGTGACCATTTTTAAGGGGAAAACTGATTGTTTACCCTCTCTACCAAGAATCCACTGAGTTCACGTGCATGTCCATTGAAATACTGTTGCCTCAGTTCTGAACTATTAAGTCTGCTTTATTGCATATGTGGGTTCTACATGCATGTGCACATATGCATGATCTAAGAAGCAAATGCAACGTGTTTGCTACCTTCCCTTCTCTTGCAGCAAAGTGATGAATTTTAGCCACTATTGATTGTTGTAGACTGCCAGTCATTAATTTCCACTGGTCAATTTCTTCTTTTTTAACTTTCCCTTGTGTTTAATGCATTTACGAATTTAGGCACTATTGATGGTTATAGACTGCCAAGCTTTAATTTCAAATGGTCAACTTTTTCTTTATAACACATTAAATAGTTGCACATTGTTTATAAAATGCTGTCTAGCTTCATCTCAGCGTTGTTGATACATTCATGATTTCAATGCTCTATTTACCTTTTTTTTTGTGAATTTTTTTTAATTAGATGTCTGCATCTTGTGCCCATGCCTGTGCTTTTGGCTCATTCATTATTTCATTTTTCTTTGGCAAAAAGGGCAGGCTGTTATTACAGAAAAACATGGTGCACATGGATGCAATGTTGGTGAAGATGGTGGTTTTGCTCCTAACATTTCCAGGCAAGCTTTTTCCTTCACATCGATCTTTATTTTTCTCTGTTCATTTAGTGATCTTGGTTCTCTGCATTTGCAGCTTTAGAGAAGGATTGGATCTAGTAAAGGAAGCCATCAGCAGAACAGGGTATAGTGAGAAAATAAAGATAGCGATTGATGTATCTGCTACTGATTTCTGCATAGGTATTGTTGTATGTCATTGATAATTGTTCTCCAGTAATGGTAAAATTGGAAAATAAAAGAATTCCTTCTACACTAGTATTAATTGAGAATCGTTGTGTAATAATGTAATGTCATTATGTAGGAACTAGTATGAGATGATATTTGAATATAATCTGTATGGCAATAGAGTTTAACAGTGGAATGGAAATAGAAGCTGTTTTCCTCACTCTATTCACATAGGCTGCAATAATTGCGTGTACACTTGGGGTCTTTTGGTCTTGTTATGTTGTCAGTTTGTATTTTCCTTGCCTATAAAATTGAATTGTATTCTCTCTCTTTTTATTTTCCCTTCCTGATTTAGGCACAAAGTATGATTTAGATTATAAAACACCAAATAAGTCAGAGCAAAACTTCAGGTCAGGAGAAGAGATGATTGATTTATACAAAGAACTCTGTGCAGGTATGTATCACTGAATGTTTCTCCTAACATTTCATTTGAACACTTGCTCAATATAAAATATGGCCTCGGTGATAATGCCTCTTTCTTTTTCCATTTTTGAACTTTTTGGGGCTCCTAGAATACCCAATTGTATCAATCGAAGATCCATTTTACAAGGAGGACTGGGAACATGTCAAAATTTTTTCCAATCTTGGAATTTGCCAGGTTTGTCCATATTCCTTGTTAACGAGTATTTTAACTTCTTGTGTATATGAAGCTGTTGTTGTCACACAATTCTGCAATAGAAGTATTTGTGCCATGTCCCACCATTTTGTGGCCTGTAAAGGTACTACACCCTTTTAATTGTTCAAATTGTATTTAATAAGCCCCCGAAGTATAAGTTGGAGGTGTAGCTGATTATATTCATTTTATTAAATTGCCTTTTATGTAAGCTTCAGCCTAAGATCGGACCATATTCATATTCAATAGTTCTGTTGGTTCCTGCCCTAGTTCTTTCTTTTTATTGTGTATGCTATTTTCTTTTCATACTCCAGATTTAATTTAAGAGTAAATTTTCTGTTCCAGGTTGTGGGGGATGATTTATTGATGTCTAATCCAAAGCGTATTGAGAAAGCCATTCAGGAGTCTGCTTGCAATGTTCTTCTTCTCAAGGTATCCTGCCAATTCATAAAGGAACTTTTGTGGCTATCATGTCAAAGTGATTCTGATGGGCAAGCACTAGTTTTGACCAATTGTTTTTTGTCTTCATTTATATATATGTATATATTTTTTAAAGAAGTAAGCCAACTGGAGAAGGAGTTTCCTCCTTTTCAAGGAAAAAGATGTCTTTTTGTTGTTTGGTTTGAGGACTGTTTTACACTTTCAAACCTTGTTTTTACTAAATGTGATAATGGCAGTCTTGACCATGCAATTTCCTTATTTTACTGTGGTTTCATCTTAAAAATATAAGGAGTTTTTCAAATGAGCATCATTTTTAGCTGTAATGTGTTTTTTTCGTCCAAATAAATGGACCAGTTTCCATCAATGAAAAAAAGAAGAAATAATTGGATCATTTGAATCTCTTTCCAATCTTTTGTTTCTTCTTCTATAACTCGTGTTAAAACTTAAATTTTTTCCAGAACTACCATGCATGAGTTGGCAGGCAGTGCTATTGCCTTTGTTGTCACTCTCTGATGCTGTACTCTTGCATTTGCTTGTCTTGGTAATTCCTACCTTAGAGAGGCAAACAGATTTAGCATTCAATTTTTAAATTAAGATTATTTGTGTCTAGAATTAAAATATATATATATATATATTTATATCTGTTTGTTAAGTTAAAAATATTTTTCTAACAGTATCTAGCTTTGTTGCTGTTATCATCAAGAATAACTCATGGCTTATAACATAAACATTGTCAGTTGTAAGCTGTAACCAATCCTATGATATTACCTAAAATTGATGGTGCAAAATCGCCAACTGGACTTTGAATTCTGATTGTATTTTTATGAAATTCAGGTGAATCAAATAGGGACTGTGACTGAGGCCATTGAAGTAGTGAAGCTGGCAAAAGATGATCACTGGGGAGTGGTGATCTCTCATAGATGTGGGGAAACTGAAGATTCTTTCATTGCTGACTTGGCTGTTGGCCTTTCAACAGGTCAGATCAAAGCAGGGGCGCCTTGCCGAGGAGAACGGCTAGCAAAGTACAACCAGGTTTACTTCTCTTTCATGCAATTGACTTGATCTCTCTCGCATGCAATTTTCCAACTTGATTCAAGTTAAATTTAGGCAATAAGAGGCATGAATTATACAATAAGTAGCTTTTCCCATGCAATTTCAGCTGCTTCTTTTTGTCCCTTGCAGTTTTACCACTTGAATTATACTAAAATTAGTTGCAGGCTTAGGGTATTAACCTGTGAGGCACCATCAACATAGTGTTGTAGCATAGTTAGCTGTTATGCCAGCAACATTTCCACAAATAAATGTTTACTTCTATAATGCCCATTTGACTAGCGGGCTTCATGCTTTGGGTTTTTTTTCTTTTTCTTTTTTTAATAGATGAATTTAATCATTCTTGTTTATACCCTCCTTATTGACCTCCATTTACTTTCTACCTAGGACTAGGTGGCAACTTTGTGCAATTAAGCTACCAAAATGACCCTTTCAATCAACTTTGTAATTTTTCCCTCAATCGTTTGTTAAATGTATGTTCATATTAGCTTCTTACGTCTTGGCTGATGTGTTGCTATAAAATAATTTAGATGAGCAATAATTGCTCAGTAACAAAACAAAAATACAGATATTAACCCCTAAAAAATAAAAAAAATAAAAATATGAAACCATGTTTATTGAATTTGTCTTAGCAAGCCAGCAGTGTATTATTACAATTGATAGGTAGGCATGAAACTAATGGCTAAAGTTTATTGCAGTTGCTGCGAATTGAAGAAGAGCTCGGTGATCAAGCAGTCTATGCTGGTGATGACTGGAGGATGACCTGAACAAACTCTCTATGGTTCTTTTGCCCCTCCCGTCTTCTCTTTAATCACTTCCTGGCATATGCAGCCTGTGTGTCTCCTCACATTCAGATACTGGGTCATGATGATGCTTGTGTTGCTCTGCACAATAGCTCTTGTCAGAGTGATTCTTCATATCAACCTAGTAAAGAAGTCTTTCATCTGATTATCTGTAGAACTTCAAATTTGCATTGCAAGAGTCAATTTTTGGTGATAACAGTTGCAATTTTTCTGGTTTGTGTGATTATATTTTGTTTCTTTTTGAAGTACCGGAAATGTATACAATTTTTTGCAAGTTTGAGAGTGAAACTGCTGTAGTTGAGATTAAGGATTGTAGTAGGATGTTTCACTCAAAATTCAAACGCATCCTTTGAACAAAAGAATTAATATGAAAATGAAATAAACTTTTTTTCTTCCTAGAAATTATTTTGTACAAATCTACTAGATTGAAATATTTCTGTGGTAATATACGGCAACTTGTGATGAGCCTTGAAAGTGGTGTACACCTTTCCTGCTTGTTCCATTGATTTGCCTACAGATCACTGGAAATGTGCTATTTCCAGTATATTTGAGTTGGTTATTTTTTGTAAATGTGCATTTCAAGATTAACTGGTCCAAACGTCTGACAACATCATATTTACTTGTAATCCAATAGACTGATAATTTTAAGGTTGCTGATACCAATCAATAATCTCTATTGTTGCTCAGCATTAATGTGTTGGCTTTGGGAAGGTTTAAATTCAAATTGGTTGCAAACCATAAATTCCAAAAAGTGAACCACGTAAACAGGGCAACCTTCCAACAGGGTGAACCATGTCCATGTATATTCAGGTTCGTGATGGCAAGCTTCTCCTTAAGAAATTCTAAAATTCTTGAAAATACAAATCCAATAAAAAGTACAGAGCCAATGTGAGTTGCCCAAATCTCCACTACATAAAAAATTTGGGGCTAAATCAAATATTTCAACACCATCTAAAACACCCTAAAAGTCTAACCAAATTTATGTAGTAAAAAACATACAAATACAAGATACTCAAGAACACAAAGTAAAAAGGAATAGTGGAAGGCTAAGTTATGAACTAAAATAACCAAACCAATGAAACACAAGGTTATCAGCATATAGACTGATCTTAAAATAATTCATACAATGTTAAAGGCTGAAGATCAAAATTTGGAAAATTTAAGCTTAAGCCTTAGTCTCATCTTCGTCCTCTTCGATCTTTGGAGCCAAGTAGAACCTGATATAACCCATTTCCGCAATCTTGTACTCGACCACAACAGGTAGCTCTGAAGACAAGCTTATTGTAACTGTGTTTGACAATGGAGTTGCCTTTGTGAAGGAGTTCATGTACCTCAGAGCAAATGTTAATGACACGGGCTCATTCATTTCTATAATTGTAGATTCCTCTGGCTGCAAATTAACAAATTATATCCCATATCAACCAACTATATTGTGCACAAGAAATAACAAATCCATACATGGAACTCCATGACTATGCAATTTGCTATAAAAATTTTGGGGTAAAAAAGGTTCGACCTTTATAAACATGATTGTCAAAATCATGATCCAATGTGATTGGTGAGTGTATTGAAAATAAATCATACAATCAGATAAAGAATCATGAAACTTTACTTCTCATAAAAATTAGGGTAAAAATACCAATAATGAAGATCATCAATCAGCAATCCTGCTTGCAATCCTATACGATTCTACAAAATTCCACACAATCCTACCAATCTTACTTGTGATTCTATTATAATGATTTTACACCATTTGGATCATTTGGAAAATCCAGGATTGTACGATTCAACAATTTAGAACAATTTTGATAACCATGCTTACAAGCTAGAAGATATTACCTTGTCTACTGTGGTATTTTGCCGGCAGACAACATTTGCAGTTCCAATATCACCTCTTGTTGAGAACTTAACACCTTCCTTTGTCACAGAGATGACAACTGCACACATCAATTGAATTCTCAAGATTATTAAATTAAATTAATGCACAAAATACAAAAACTCATTGACCATGAAAATGAATAATACAATACCAGTATCGCCAATACTGCTAAGATCTTTACAAATCCTAGCAAATTCAGCTGACGGCATCCGGACAATAGCATGGTACTCTGCTTCTGGAATTCCAAGGTGCTCACTATCAATGTCCATCAGCTTCATCTCAAAATCAGCAATCTTATCTTGAGCTGTAATACAGTGCCAATAAAACAAGACAAGAAACAAAAGAACGAAACTCACATCAACAAAGACCAGATAATGAAAACAATAATAAGAACATGATATCCCACATTCCCCAAGAGGGTAATATCAGACAGTCCTAAATGAGTACCCACCCAAATGTTATAGTTTTCTTATCACAAGAATTATAATTCATCATTTGTAACTTCAGGTGCACACCATAAATTTGTCAGTAGTAGTTTTATAACAAAGTGACATAACACAACAAAAAATTGTAACTTTCAACCCTAGTTCAAAACCAAAACAACATAGTGGCCTCCCGCCGCACCCCCAAAACCAAAACAACACCAACAAAATGAAACTTCAACCTCTATTTTGTTTAAGAGAGAGAACTGTGTATGCTGGGCAATTAGGATATGATTTTTCCATTTCAGTGCTTAATTGCCTCAATTTTCTTAGGTTTTCTCACCAGCCTAGCAAACAAATCATTTTATCCAAACAGACATACACGAACACACATCATAATTACAACTTTCCATGAATCACACCGAGATGACAAATATATGCATATATGTATACGTCTACATACGACAGTAAAGCCCTAGTTCAAAGTGAAATTGACAGCTAAAACCCTAAATTCCAAACAAAACAATCCAAATTAAACTTCAAAACCATAAGCAAGGACTAAGAGAGGCTTACTGGGGCTTTCAAACATAAAAGTGACAGTATCACTTCCATCATCAGCCTTGATGGTGATGATATCGTCGTTCCCAGCACACTTGAGCATCTTAGACATGTTCCCGAGATTCATCCCCATGGATATGTTCCGATCACACCGGTAGTGCTCGAAACCCTCGGATCTGAGGAGTAGCGCCACCAGGGCCACGTGGCTCGAATCCATGGCCTGGAGAGAGAATCCAGTGGCGGAGCAGTCGAAGTTGGCGTCGTTGACCAGATCCTTGATCGCCTCCATGACCTTCTTCAGCAGACTGCCCTGAACAAGCCTCAGCTCCAACATTTTTCTTTCTCGGAGTTGTTTGATTTTCCGGGAAAGTTCAGAGCTAGGGTTTGTGGGAAGAGAAGAGAAAAAAAAAAAAAGGTGTGGGTTTCTTGTGAAGATTGCTTGGAATGTGGGGTTGTTGTTGAGATATAATCAAAAAAGCGACTGAGGATGTCATCTATTATCATTTGTAGTACCTTGGTCCGTTTGTTTTCAGAGGTAGAATGGAGGGGATTCATAGTGAGGGGATTAATAGTGAAGGGATTAAATAAAATTGTGATTGTTTTGATGATAGTTGTTAGTGTAGGAATTGTTAAATTATTTTTATATAAAATAATAGAACAAATAAAAAAATATAAAAAATTAAACATTAATATTTTTAAAAAAAATTCCCAATATATAAAAAATAAAAAAAATAAAAAAATATCTAATCCCCTCACTATTTTTCTAATACCATCTCTACCTCATCTTTATCAATCGCCCTTCCTCCTCCTTACTAGTCTCAAGGGATTACTAGTCCCCTCTCTATCTCTCAAAACAAACACTCCATTCTCAATCCCCTCCTCACTATCAAACTCAATCCCCTCCCTATAATCCCAAACAAACGGGGCCTTGGAGTGTAATGAATGGGAGAGAATTAGGATGGAGGTGGGGTTATTTAGTATTGTATTTGTTTGTAAAGTTAGGAAAGAGATTAGGATGGGGTGAGAAGAGAGATTGGGATGGAGAAAGTGGATGTGATATTAGAAAAATAGTGAGGAAATTAAAAAAAAATTTATTTTTTACATATTGGGAATTTTTTTTTTTAAACATTAATGTTTAATTTTTTTATTTGTTTTATTATTTTATATAAAAATAATTTAACAAGTCCTACACTAACAACTATCATCAAAACAAATACAATTTTACTTAATCCCCTCTTTATCAATCCCCTCACTATTAATCCCCTCACTATAAATTCCCTCAATTCTACCTCTGAAAACAAACGGGGCCAAAAAGACTTTCTAATATGATTAATTCCAATGTTGAATGTGGTCAGTGAAAAGGTATTAAAGCAACTTGCAATAACCCACTCATCTCTCATTTATTCTTTGTTGATGATCTTATTTTATTTGCCAAAGCAGACCTCTCCAACTGTGGCATTATACTGAAAGTGCTTTTTTTGAATTTTGTGCAATTTCTGGGCAAAAAACTAATCATTCTAAGTCCAAACTTTTTGTTTCACCCAACTTAGCTCGTAACAAAACCTTATCCCTAAGCTTCCATAGTAGCATCTCTTTAACCCAAAACCTTGGTAAATATCTGGGTTCTCCTATGATCTATGGTAGAGTCAATAGAAACATGTTCAGGGACACTTTGGAGAAATTACAAAATAGGCTGTCAGGTTGGAAGGCTAGAAATTCCTAGCTAGTAGAACCACACTTATTCAGCCTGTCACATCTGCTATACCAGTTATAGCATGCAGACCATGGAAATTCCTAGGAGGGTTTGTGATAAAATCGATAGACAACTCAATGGAAATTTCTTATGGGGTGAAACTAATTCTAAAAAGAAAGTACACCTGGTTAACTGGGACAATGTTTGTAAAAGCAAGACAGAAGGTGGACTGGGACTTAGAAAAACAAGAGACCATAATGCAGCTTTATTGACTAAAATTAGATGAAAAATGCTGAGTGACAAGGACAAATTATGGTGTGAAGTACTGCATTCCAAGTATTTGAGAAGGCATTCCATCTTTAATTGGCCCCTCGAGAGTTCTTCACATACCTAGAAAAGCATATGCAAAAACAGAGATAATTTGAAGAAATGAGTCAAATAGAATATGGGAAATAGTGAGAACATATCTTTGTGGTGTGATTGGTGGTGTAGGAACAACCATTATCTACAACTTACACCTCTCAGCAGGATAATGATCTTCAAGAAGTTAGCTCAATACTCAATGAAGAGGGCTATTGGAATATAGATGCTTTGGGAAATATTTTAAACTCCCAAGGAAATTCGCAAAATTCACAGGCCCAAATTTGTCACCTATACAGATACTCCTATTTGGGTTGGAGCCACCCGTGGCAACTTTACTACATCATCAACTTATAAGCTCATTGCAAGGCAGGAAGTGGATGGCAGGGATTGGAAATGGTTCTAGAAAGAATTTCCCATAAACTGAAATGCTTCATTTGGCTTATTCTAAAAAGGAGGCTGCTAACTAATCACACGAGACTTGTGAGGAATATGACCACATCTGACTTATGTCCTAGATGTGGTTTGGCTAATGAGGATATGGACCATCTCCTCAGGAAATGCACCATATCCAAAAACATATGGACTAAAATCAAAGATGGTAACAGGTGGAATGAAGGTTGTGATAGGCCTTTACTTGAATAGATTACCTTAAATTTAAAAGATAAAAGTGAGTTTTTTTGGGAAAAAATGACAAATTGTTTTTATAACTACACTTTAGCAAATTTGGAAAGATCGCAACAAACTTGTGTTCGATAATCTTGGAAAGATCGCAACAAACTTGTGTTCGATAATCTTATTCATTCCATTCAAGTCAATCTCAAGAACATAAGAAATTATGTTCAAGAGATTAATGAGGCCTGTCATTCTGTCCTTCATCCCAGGCCTTATCAACCCAGACTAATTCACTGGTTTTGTCCATCTATAGGGATGTTGATGGCTGTTCAAAAGGGTGACCCAGGCAATGCTAGATATAGAGGTCTGCTGTGAGATGAAACAGGAGTATGGATCTGGGGATTTTATGGAAAACTGGGACATTGCTTAAGTCTCGAAGCTGAAATGTGGGCTATCTACAGGGGACTTACAATTCTATTCCAGAAAGAAACTAAAGGAGTGGATATTGAATCTTATTTGGAACTAGCTATCAACCAAATACAGAATGATCCATGCCTCAACTCACCATATAAAGCTCTCATAGAGGATGCAAAATTCCTGTTGAAAAGGTACGACTGCTCCCTACAACATACCCCAAAGGAGGGCAACAAATGCGCTGATCTACTTGCAAACATGGGAGTTGCACAAGATGAACATGTAGGGGTGCTTGAAGAATCTCTTGAAGAAGTGAAGGCTCTGGCCATAGATGACATGGCTGGAGTTAGTGTGTTGAAGGATTAGTTATTCATCTACCGGTTGTTTTTTATTTTCTTTTAGTTGTTTATATCTCTGTACTTCTGTTTCTTTGAATTTCCTTTGAATTGCACCCAAATACCAACTCAGTATATCTTGTAAAAATTTTAAATTTTTTGTTTCTATCATGTTAGCAAATGTACTAATAAAGATAATACACATTAAATTTTAAAATAAAATATTATTATTTTTATAATATACTCAAATCACTTATACATATTATTTATATTGAATTCTCTTCTTCATCTTCTTTCTCAAGTACCATCATTTCAAAATAGCTGTAATGATAAATCTATTTAAAATTTTTTGAAAGGATTTTCAAAGTCAATGCTACCATACTTCTACGAGATCCTTTAGAATAGTCTATGGAATTTCCAAGTTTGAACAAAAGCTTGGGGTTGGCATCAAATAGAATTCTAGCGGAATTAGAGAGTCTTCGGAGATGCCTTTTCTAGAACAAGATGATTGAAGCGTTTATGAGTGCGAGTGGTGGTTTAAGCGCCTGAAATTGTTTCGAATTTGAATATGAGTACTCAAATCTTCGTGTTTCAAAAAATTGAAAGTAAAATAGTTTCGAAGAGTATCTGCATAAACATATATGTATATATACCAGATATATCATATGTATGTATACATAGAGATATATTAGACGGTAGAGATAAAAAAAAATCCTACCGTTGCGTTTAGTAGAGTTTTCTGAATATGATTTGAGAATAAAGTTATATTTTGAGTTTGTGAGTTTTGAAATTATGATTTGAGTATAAAAAATTTATTTGATGAATGAGTTTTGAAAAGAGTTTTGAATTGAGTGGAGAATTTTTGATGTGACATATGATATTTGATACAAAAACTTACAACTCATAACCAAACATATAACTTAAAATTCTATTCAAAACTCATAAAAAATATTTAAAAATTAAAAAATATTTTTTTTATTGAATATATAAAAATTAATATGGGTTAATTGTAAAAAAAAAATAAATAAATAAAATAAATATGCACCAGTGGGGTGACCAGCTAGCCCATATTTTTTTGCTTTGGCCAGAATTTTCAAAGGTGAGTGGAATTAATTTTTGAAAGTTGTAAACAAACACCACGTTAAAAACAAGGCAGTGGCTTTGGTCCAGTCCAAGATCGGATTGGACCGTGCTGTTGGGCCTGTGGGGGCCCACCACGGGTCCCGTTTTGATAATCAAAATTGTCAATGTGTAGAACTCGTCAAGTACTATATGTCAGTAAAAAATTATGTTGATCGGATATCGATAGCTATGTAAACAAAATAATTTTTTATCAACCGTTAATTGTTCACCGTTCTTTTTTTATACAAAACTGATTTGATCACATAGTTATTGATATTCGATCAACGTGATTTTTTACAAACATGTAGTAATCGACGAGTTCTACACATTGAACGGTTCGGATTATCAAAATGGGCCCAAAAAATGGACCCCATGGCCCGAACTGGACGGGTTCAATCTTGATCTCAACTTGAGACAAGCTAGACCCAAAAACAAAGGGTAAAACTAAAGTTTGGAAGCTCTACCAAACAGAGCATAAATTTCGCCCCAAAATATACTTGAAATTTGAAGATTTGGGTGCCTTTTGAAATTTAAGAATAGATGTAATAAGAAATCTTTTGTAAGGTTTTTTTCAAAATAGTGTAATTTAGCCTATGTTTGGGAAGTAGGTTAACTTTTTAGCTTTTTGACTTTTTTGGCTATTTTAGTCTGGGCTAAAAAGCTTGGTTTGGGAAGGGCTTTTTGGTTTTTTGACTTTTTGACTTTTTTTGTGAGAGAAAAGTATAATGATTATGGGTTGGATGTGATGTTTTGTTTGTTGTGGCTAAAATAACCTATTTTGTTTTTTCTGACTATTTTAGCCACAAAATCACTTGCCAAACACCACCTTAGAGTTTTTGATTTATTTATTATTTGGGTGTACTTTAAAGGGTAATTTGAAAAAAAAAAATATAGAGTGTATTGAGAATAAATTATAATCTTAAATAATTTAATAGAATGTATTAAGAAATTAAGCGTACTTAATGATTTTTTAGATGGAAATAAAATCCCTCCGCTAATTGGAGAGGCCTTGTTTGGCTAGGTCAACTTATGAGATTTATTTTGAATGATTCAAAAATTTCATTTTATATAGTTTATTGAAAAAAGATAGTCAAGTTGCATTAGATAAACTAAAAGAATTATGAAGTAAATAAATGAGAGAGAGGGAGAGAATGGATGTGCACCTCTTTTTTGTTAGAGCATCTAAATATAATTTTTGGCCATTTTAGAGTGCTTAATTTTTAAAAACATCCTCAAACAACTTTCCCACATGGTTCTTCATTTTAGAGAATTAATGCAATAACTTCCTTGTAGAACAACCCGTTGTGCAATTTGTTCAAAACTAAAATTTTGTACTCCATTCGTTCCAAAATAATAGTTTATTTTAGGAAATTTAAATTTTTTTATACTACAATTATTACATTTTAAAAATATATTTGTTTTCAATTTTTTAAAAATATTTTTCAAAAAATTCTACTATATTGTTTTCTGTATTTTTTGTTTTTAGTGATTTTTTTAATATTTTAAGCAATTTTTTTAATTTGTAGACACGCTTAACATAAATACACTTAAAAAATATAATTTTTGTGAAAAAATCTTTAAAAATTCACTAGATACTAAAAATATAAAAAATATAAAACTTCAATATATTTTTCATATTTTTGTATATTTATTAATTTTTTAAAATATTTTTTTCACAAGTATTTATTTTTTAGATACTTTTAAGTAAGATGCATCTAAAAAAGTAAAAAAAAAAAAAACTTACAATTTTAAAAATATTCACTAAAAATAAAAAAATACGAAAAATAGAAAACTTAATTTAAAAAAAGCTGAAACCAAACACACTGATTAATTTTTCAAAATTGTCCTTTGATAGTATTTTTTTTAAGAATATCAATCGTCATAATAGTACTTTTTTATGTTATTAATGAATTTAAAAGAAGGCAAAATAATAAATTTATATTATTTTATTCCTAAACTTTTAAAAAGGGACTAATATTTTGAAACAATAAAAAATAAAATAAAAAATTAATATTTTGAAGCGGAGAGACTAATAATATTTTTAGATTGTATCTAGTTTTAGAAGAGATTTTCTTATCGAAGGAGCTTACCAACATATCTGATTCGAAACCCCCATATTTGGATCAGGTGTTCCTTGAAACCTTCAGATCTGGCTTTAATTAGTTCGAAATCCTTCAGATCTCGTCTCTTGTTCTTTTCTTCAACGAGCACCACCACCGCCATCCTCTTCCACCACTGTAGCTGTCGATCTGAGGCGATAATGAGAAGACAGCAGCGGCGGTGAGTGTGGATGAGATCGGCAGAGGGGAGAGAGAGAGAGAGATGAGTCTGGTGATAGAGAAGAGTGAAAATGAGCGAGAGAGAAAAAAAAATGAAATCGAAATCGATTCCTATTCTGAAATCACTCTGAGATTTAAGGGATCACCGGGCTGAAGCGAGAGAGTGAGCGAGAGAGTGAGCGAGAGACTTGAGGCATCTTCTTTCTGAGACTGAGTAAAGAATGAGTCTCAAAGCGGGAGAGAGAGGGTGAGAGAGATTATAACACAAATAACACATTCGGAGGCGTTTTGTGTCAGCTAAACGGTGCCGTTTTGATTAGCACAAAAGGCGACGTTTATAAAACGCCGTTAAATATTAAAAAAGGCGACGTTTAAGAAAACGCCATTATATAAACGCCGTTAAAACTAACATTTCTTGTAGTGTCTACTGATAACATCGCAAGGTAAATATAAAACAAAAATCTAATTACAAGTATTGTAAAGAGTAATTTTATATAAATAATATGTTTTATTTATATCCATTAATTTGTCAAAAGTCAAAATATTCATCACTATAATTCATAATTTTAAAAATATTATTGTTACATTATTTTTTTTTTATCACCCCATTATCACATTGTTCTAACCATAAATTCTATGTAAAAATACTATATGGATATGATTTTTCATATTGTAAATTAATATGGGTGTAAACGCCCACCCATAAACAGGAACGACAAGAAGTACGGATTGGAGATATATATATTGTTAAAGCATAGTGCCTTTGACTAATTTGGAATTAGTTTGTTAATAAGGACTTTTACATCTAGTTCAGATGCTAAGAATTCAAAGAAAGTTATCAACGGTTCATTTGTAAAGAATTTTTTGGTTTGACTTTTTAGTTTTTTTTTTTACTAATTTAGTTGGACTAAATTAGTTACATTTGAAAAAATATATATATATATATTTGGTTTTTTTGACTTCTGTAATTTTTTTTTTAAAAAAAGAAAAATGAAATGATTATGATTAAAATGTCACATTTGATCTTGATAGGTTATTTACCCCCATTTGGTCTTAATAGGTTATCTACCCCCTTTTGGGTACTATTTTAGTCTCAATAAACCCAACTCACTTGCCAAATGGGGACTAAACGTATTACTAAATACATGGATCCAATCATCATTGGATATTCAATGGATGGCTCGTCCACATCCAGTTAAACAAGTCACATTTTCTTTGAAATTTGTTTTAGTTTTAGTGCTTTTTTTTAAAAAAAGTTTATCAAAAAAAATTTATGGTAGCGTTTGGTTGTGTTTTGTAAATGTGATTTGAGAGTATGAATTGTATTTTGAGTTTGTGTGTTGTGGAATTATGATTTGAGTGAAGAAAATTTGTTTGGTAAAGAGTTTTGAAAATAGTTTTGGAAAAGAGGTTTGATTTGAGTGGGGAATTATTGATGTGACATTTGATATGTGATACAAAAATTTACAACTTATAACTAAACATACAACTCAAAATTATTTTAAAGCACATAAAAAATTTAAAAATTTTCAGAAAATATTTGTCCCGATTATGTAAATCAATTGCAAAAAAAAAAAAAAAAAATCTGGAAATCAGCCGGACATCCAGGTGGACATCCGGGTGGTCTACCGGGTGGACATCCGGGTGGTCTACCGGGTGGACAAAAAAGGCGCCTGTGCATCAGAGTTCTCTCTGCAGAGTGTAGAAAATTGATTTGAAAACGAAACCAAACATCATGCTCCAACACACGGGTAGAAAATTAATTACAGAGCACAACCAAACATAATAATATCTTTAGATTGTATCTAGTTTTAGAAGAGATTTTCTTATAAATTCTTAACGCAGATCAACTTTCTGTGCACGTCTAGTTAGAGTGTCAACTCAATTTGAGTGAGTTGATCAAGTATTTTTCTCAAGTTGGCCTTATATACTTCCAAGAAAAATGCTTGGGAGCATTAATTAGTGCTCCTACTAATTAGGTGGCAGTGGGTCCCGTTCCGTCATTAATGATGTGATGTTTTAGTTTTGGAGTTGTATTTTTCTTTTATTTTTTTTATTTTTTTAATGCATTAGTACTATTAATGGTAGTATTTTTAGTGGGATGAATCATTGTTGTTCTTCCAAGCTGATCTTGCCTATTCAAAGCTGATCGGTTAGACCAGTCTAGATATATCAAACATGATTATCACCAAAATTATAAAAGTTAGCAAGCACAAAAACTACTTTTTCTTATAATATATATGATCATTATAATTCACATTCATATTAAATTATATTCATATTGCTTGCACAAAAACAACTTTTTCTTGTAATATGATCATTATAATTCATATTCATATTAAGGGATTGTTTAGGGTGTCTTAAATAAGTATATTTTTTTGTCTATTTGGACTAAAAATTTGAGAAAAAAAATATGAATGTTTGGGTTAACTTTTTGACTTTTTATGAAAAAATGTGTATTAAAAAATAGTAAAAATTGGTTTGTAGGAAAAAATTAAAATTAAAATTGAGAGTTGTGCAATCATAATTGTTGACTTTTGGTGAATAGTGTTAACTTTTTAACTTTTTGAATAACTTTTTGACTTTTTCTTATCTTCCCAAACTTAGCCTAAATTATATTCATATTGCTTGCAAGTTGGCAAGCACAAAAACAATTCATTTTCACATTGCTTGATCATCGTAGTTCTTGATTCCACTTGTATTTCAATTCATACTCATATCATGTTATTCAATTGCTTGTAACATTTAAAACAACGGAAAATGTTTGGTAGCTCAAATTTTTGTGGCTCAAATGGCTCAAATTTGTCAAAACGGCGTCATTTTACATTCAAAATCTATCAAAATGACATCGTTATAACAGATTTGAGCCATTTGAGCCACAAAAATTTGAACTACCTATCATTGTCGTAAAACAACACTCCCAAGCAGTCCCAAACTTAGCCTAAATTATATTCATATTGCTTGCAAGTTGGCAAGCACAAAAACAATTCATTTTCACATTGCTTGATCATCGTAGTTCTTGATTCCACTTGTATTTCAATTCATACTCATATCATGTTATTCAATTGCTTGTAACATTTAAAACAACACTCCCAAGCAGAAAAATTCAAAATCATAACAATAAACAGAAGGTTCTTTTGAGAGGGGTGATTGACACATTTTTTTTAAGAGGTAGTGTTTGGATCTTGCCTTTAATGTATTGACTTTATTCCTAATAAAAAGAAATGCAAAGCTAGCTTTATTTTACTTCATTTTTGGTAATTAGTTGACATGCTTTATTAACAATTATTTTTTGCCATCATATCATTTATATATTCAAGTTTGACAACGATTTTTAATTTGACTTTCAAAATTTTTGTTTTAATGAATTATTCTTACAAAAATATTGTACCTTTGCCAAAAAAAAAAATACCAAAAAAAGTCAACCTAAAAGATGCTGCCCATGGAGAGAGTTTATTGGTAGCTCAAGATGAAACAAAAATGGATTGGGTAACCAATTTTAGAATGGAAAATGTTGGATTCATATTTTTTTTTATTTTATAATTTGACTCACAATATTGTGGTACAATAGGTGTTAATTTTTAATTAATTAAACATCTAATGATAAAATATTCAACTCTTTATTACATTATTGGGAGTAAATTTATAAATTTAAAATTATAAAGGTTTTTTTGCGTTGCTCATTTAGAATTTAAAAGACCTTATTGACGAGACAGCCAAAAATAAAAATCAAATGGCATTATTTAAGTTGTATGCTTAATACTCTACTCATAAGACGTTACTAACCTAGTTAGTTCCTCTATAGCATCATGACCCACATCTACAACACATACACTCACATGACCCGAAACAACACCATTTAGAAAACAAACAAACAAACAAACAATCCGACCCGAATGTTTCATGTCCGGGGTACAAGGTAAACCCTAGCCTTGATGACCGACCCGTTGACAAGCTTGAACCCGGGACTCACTGCAAACCCAACGACCTGACCCACAACCCCCCGCCCACCGGAAAGTCTGACAACACTTTCCATATACTGCAGATGAAACTCGGCTCCTCTACTGGCCTCAAAATGACTCGGCGGCGGATCCAGAGAAAAAGCTAACAAATGAAGCAACCACACCGCCTTAGCCAGACCCAAAAACTCGCCATAGAACTGACTCCTCGGGTGGTTTCCGGCGAGGACCTGGCGGCGCTGCTCCAAGTCTCCGAACAGAGATTCCTCCATCTTGGGGTGGACGATGGAGAGGAATTTCTTGGAGCAGAACTTGCCAAAGTGGCAAGTGGGTAAGATCCCGAGGAGCTCGATTGGGTCCATGGCTTTCATGTCTCGGTACTGGGTGAAGCACTCGCGGCGGAACTGGTCCGGGTGGAGGAGAGAGGAGAGGCTACCGTCCATGTAGAAGGTCTCGTGGTCGAATCCTTGGAATATTTTGCGGTTGACGTAGGACTCGAGTGCGTACCTGGCGTGGTGGGCTCCGACGGCGGATTCAGCGGTGGTGGACGTGGCGGATTCGATGGATCTTACGGCGGCGCCGATGTCCCAGTGGGCAGAGCGCATGAGTGAGAGGAGAAGCGAAGTGAAGGACTTCGATGCTTCGTTAACCGAACTCATGGTGGCTTCAAATATCTCCGGCACCGGCACCGCCGCAACTGGTACAGAACAAAACGGTGGTCAGATATGCATTGCGAAATTACCATAATACCAATATCCGTAGACCCCAATCAATCAATCACAAAGTTTCTAATTATCTGGGGTTTAACATTAATTGTGTCACTGACGAGGCGAGGTATCAGTGGCTACATAAGCATTTTATTTGTGTTTTTTCTTCTCATTTACGAAAATAACCCTGAGAGTGAGAGAGTACCTTGAGCTTGACTGCAGCTGACTTTTCTCTTAGACTGATGAGACCGCCCCTTCTTTCCACCGCCGCCGCCGCCGCCGCCGAGTCTGGTGGCGGTTTTGAGCTTTTCCGTCAAGTTCTGAACCTCAGCTTCCCTGACCTTCACCTCCTTCTTCAGCTCCTCCACCGCCGCCTCATATGGCGCCACCACCTCCCTCAGCGTAACCCCCGCCGTCCCCAACCTCCTCTCTCTCCCTCCACATTCCCTACCAACACTCCTCCGAAACCTCTCCCTCAAAACCCCAAGCCGTCTGAGCTCCGCCACCACCGCCACATCAGCCACCCTCATCTTATCCGGATCCCAAGGACAGTGCGACTCCTGAAGGCTAACGTACGCCCTCTTCATCGCAGAAACCGCATCGAACACTTGCCCCATCATCATCTCCATCTCTATCACCCTCTCCGATCTCGCCCCATCCAAAACCCTAAATCCGTCTCTCTCTCCATCTTCAACTTCATCATCTTCTTCCTCATCTTCGGTCTTGTAACGATGATCGTCTTCGGACTCGTCTCCGGTGCGGTGGTCGGAGATTTCGTCGGGATCGTGACGGCCGGCGGCTAGAGGGTGGAGTAAGCAAGAGGCGGTGACGCGCTGGATCAGATCGGAGAAATTGGAAACCTTGCTCGCCATCTTCTTCTTCGGCTTGATCTCCTTCCGTTTCTGAAACTTTGAGCTGAATGAATGAGTAGTAAATGAACTAGACTAGCAATGAACCAAAACAAAGCAAAAATGGAGTCAATGTGAGGCTTGTATATATTTACCACTACGTTATTATTGCTTAGTGCTATAAATAATTATTTCATTATATAAAAAAGTTAAAAAGAAATAAGTCAAAAAGTTAGGCTCTGTTTGTTTAGGTTTTGAAACTTTAATTTCAGTATAATGATTTTAGGTGATATTTGTTTACAACTTTTAAAATTTAATTTCACGTTTACTTTTGAAAATTCAGTCAAAAATAGAAAAATTTAAACTAATCGGTCGTTCGATTGATTGATCAGAACAGTGTAAATTTTTATTTTTTATTTTTTATAATTGACACATGTTAATTTTTATATATTTAACAAAAAATATTTTTTAAATTTTTTCTATGAGTTTTAATAGAATTTTGAATTGTGTATTTGATTATGAGTTATAAATTTTTGTATCAAATATCATATGTCACATTAAAAATTTCTCACTCAATTCAAAAGCCTTTTCAAAACTCATTTACAAAACAAAATTTTCACACTCAAATCATAATTTCCAAACTCACAAACTCAAAATGCAATTCTTATTTTCAAATCATATTTAAAAAGTTCTACCAAACGCTACTTTAATTTTTTTACCAACTTTTCAAAACAGCACTTAATATTATATTCTTATGAATAAAAAATAAATTTTGTTGATGGTGATTATTTATTTTTCATAAAAATATGTGCTTATAAAAAATATATAATTTTATTAATAATCAATACTCTCGAGTTCGTTAACAAAACTTCATAAAAATTGAAAATTATTGAATTTGGAGAGAGAAAATTGATTGGATTTGATTTGTTATACACGCACTCAATCTCGGTTGAAGGGAACAGAGGATTTGAGGTGTTGATGATTTTTTCGTTTTGTTTATACGTCGATTTAGCCTCCGTTTGGGAAGTGAGTTGGTTTTTTGATTTTTTTGACTATTTGAGTTTGAACTCAAAAGCTTGGTTTAGGAAGAGTTTTTTGACTTTTTGACTTTTTTAACTTTTTTTGTGAGAGAAGAGTGTAATGATTATGGATTGGATGTGATGTTTTGTCTGTTGTGGCTTAAATAGCTTATTCTATCTTTTGTGACTCAAAGAGAGAAAAGAGCCCAAATGAGCTCTTCCCAAATGACACCTTAGTTTTTCTTTTCCTTGCAAAATTCAAAATAAATAAATAAATAAATATAATGGTTGAGTGAGTAGTTAGATTGGTCACTTGGTTGGTGTATTATATTTTAAATTGATTTACGATGTGTATTCCATCATAGAAAGGTTTTATTTCAATCACAAATTATTTTTCTATGTATTCTTTTGTAGATGAATTTTGTGCACTTATGTATTTTATTTCAAATTAAAACATTTATTTTTATATTTCATTATTTTTAAAATATTACCGTCACATTATTTCGAATAAAATTTCCTACATCTCATAAAAAAGAGTTTAAATGCTATAAATTAGTGTCATATTATTTTCACCTTTCATAATTTATTTTTAACATCTCACTTAAAAAATTAAAATTAAATTGTGAGTGAGTTAAAATGGTGCCAATATATATATTTGGGAAAATTTCAGATAAGTGTAAGTATAAAAAAATAATAAATTTTATAAATATTAATTAAATAAAATTATAATTTTTTTCATAAATTTATAATAACTTTTTCAAATTACCTGGTAATTTTTCCTAGTATATTTTTCTATGTACTTTGATTGTATCATTGATGAAAACTGAAAAGTTAAATCACTTTTTTTTATTTAAAAAAAAAAAAAACTTTTTTGGTAAGGAGACGACAACAATTTTGTCATTTCAGAATCATCTTTAACATCAGCTGCTTTGAGGTCACTTCATGACTCCCTTTATTTATTTTCGTTTTAAGTTTGGTTCTTTTCAGATTTATACAGTCTCTCCCACCGAAAAATTATTGATTGAGCCTCTGTTTGGGAAGTGGGTTGGTTTTTTGGCTTTTTAGTTTTTTTGGCTATTTTAGCTTGGGCTAAAAAACTTGGTTTGGGAAAATTTTTTTAACTTTTTGATTTTTTTGACTTTTTTTATGAGAGAAGAATGTAATGATTATAGGTTGGATGTGATGTTTTGTTTGTTATGGCTAAAATAGCCTATTTTGTTTTTTGTGGCTAAAATAACCAAAAAAACCTGAAAAAGTCCTTGCCAAACATAGGCTCATGACTTGTTTTGGGAAGTTGGCTTTTAATTATTTTTTTTGATTTGTAATAAAAGTTAAAGGATAATATTAGGGATATTAAATTTTTTACCAAATAAATGATTAAATGTCTCACATGCGTGTCGGGTCCGCAATTTTGCAAAGTTAAAAGTTGACTTTTTTGAATTTTTTTCCATTTGGGAAGGTGGTTTTTAACCAAGGGTAAAATTATAATTTTACCCCTCATGAATCAAAATATACTACATTGGTGAAATTGTAATATTTTAAACTAAATAGGCTCGAGAGAGGTATATGTAATTTGCCCAATTTTAAACATGTGGCTTATTTTGGGAAGTTAGTTTTTAGTCACTTTTTTTGGTTTGTAGCCAAAGTTAAAAGTTGACTTTTTTGAATTTTTTTCCATTTGGGAAGGTGGTTTTTAACCAAGGGTAAAATTATAATTTTACTCCTCATGAGTCAAAATATACTACATTGGTGAAGTTGTAATATTTTAAACTAAATAGGGATAGTTTGGTCATTTGATTATGATTTGACATCATAAACAAATATTAATAAAAAAAACTAAAAGTCACTTTTTACCAACTTTCCAAATCATTTGTCTAAAAAAATTAAAAGTTTGATTAAAAGTCAAAAAATTACTTTTTACTATCTTTTCAAAATAAGCCATACAAATTTATAAATTTCACTCCATTTATCGATCACAACTTTATTAAAAAAATCAAGTGACAGTACTCCAAAAAAAACCGAATAACTCCTCCTTCCCAACCCTGAGTCAAAAGTAAAAAAATAACGTATCTGTTATAAAGTAGAAAATTAATATCAATATGATGAAAATTTAAGATTATTTTCTAATGTAGCAAATTGCATACAAAAAGCTAATTACACCGTTAATTCCTTAATTGTTATTGAATAAGTATTATTTTATCATCAATTTTAAAATTATATATTTAGATTTTTTTTTATCAGCTTAAAAAGAAATTGTCAAATGTGCAAAGTTTTTTTTTTAAAAGGATTTTGGCCTCTATGGTGCACGAAAGAAAATAAAAAATAAAAAATAAAAATAAAAAAACACGCAAGATAAGAAGAAAAAAAATACTAAATTTATAGCATTTACCTTCAATTGTCTGGCCAAAAAAACAGACTGGGCAACATGGTTTTTAGGATGATCTTTGAAACAAAGCAAGGCGAAAGAGGGTAATGAAATCTGAACTAGATTTGAATAATACTGCTCTACAAACACCAACAACTAGATTTGATAGTTGGAGTTGGTAAAATCAGCATATCTGAAGAAGACAAAAGCAAGGTGTCAAAATACATAAAACTCACTCATTTAATTACAAACCATGGTTCCAAATTTTGTAATGTGACTAAAACTTGTTTGTTGGCAAAAAAAAAAAAAAATTAAAATGATTTTTTTTTTTGGTTACAGAATCCTCCTCCAAAAAACCCATTAAAAGAAAAGAAGAATAACATAACATCCACCACTTCACAGTGGCAATGTTTAAGAATTGACATAGGTTTGAATTTGATGAAAAGTACATAATCACCCAACAATTCATACATAATCACACAAGTACTCATTTGTTCTTTATGTAGTCGAAAATGTTTAGTAGTGGAGATCACGGGAGTGTCATGTATATGTACTTTTTTATTTTTACATTATCATTGGGATTTCATGCATGGCTTGCTTTTAGAATCTAACTAGTCACGGTATGAAAAATTATTAGATATTTTCAAAATTTAACTATATTATTTTCGTGATATCTTTGATCAGCAAGTAATAATGGTAAGAATATGTATAAAGTAGTCCATATGTCACACATTTGTTTTATTTATTTATTTATATTAGATATATTCAATTGGTTTAATGACTAATTAATTAGTTTAATGACTAATGGATAACTAATACTTGTTCACTATCCCATATGGTGATTTCATGAGACTTTACAACCTCCTGATGGTGGGAAGTTATAAGGAGTTACACTTGGATATGGGTCCAAGTCTATCTATATATATGCCTGTGATAGCCATCAAACACAGACGTTGTTTTGTGAATAGAATAGGCTTGAAACTCTGTTCCTTCAACTTTTTTCATATAGTGAGTGGGTTTTGTTTATACATTCAAGATTTGATCATTCAAGGATAAAGATTCAAAGGCTTGAACATCATGGCAGGAGGTATTCTTCTTTCTGAATTAAAATTATTTTAATTCTCACAATTGGTATCAGAGCCAACCTTCTGTTATGTTGTTTAGTTTTTATTTCAAATTCTTACATCAAACTATTATCAATTTCGTGAATCCAATCAAGCCTATTCTATATATGTGATATTTGTATATTAATTCACACTATAAAACTTAACAATTCAGAATCATTGTAGAATCAGAATGAATAATTTATATTGCATAACTTTTGAATATCACTATTAAAGAAAAAGGAAGCACTGTTGCAATAGTAGAGTCCATTGTGATTTGTGCTAGTGGTATTTACATTTATTTAGAATTTTCTCCTACTCTCAATCTATTTTATTTAGGAGACTTGTTGTGTGTCATTAACTATTATTTTTGACACACACATTAAAGAGCAAAATATTTAATCTGATTCTATATAAAATCTAGAAATTCTCATACTTTTATTTGGATTTATTTGGTTTATTTTAAAAAAAAAAACATGAAAGACTTGAACTTATTTCTAGAATTTTCATAAAGAAATTTTAACATGTTGTTAAGGATGTTTTGTTTATTATCGTTGCATGTTTAAATAGTAAGCAAATTCAACCCATTAGTCTTATTATAAAGTAATTAGATTTGATTATTTATGAAATTTAATT